CACGGTGAGTAGATTATCCACACTGTGAGCTCTGCCTGGGCAATTATTTACTCTCAGGCTACATTTTCTATCCTGTCCCTCAATTTCTAGGAAAATTCATCAGTTGATTGTATCTGAGTATTTGCCTTCTGTTCCTTTCATGTACAAGTAGCTGCAAACAGATAGCAGAGCAGGATAAAAAAGCTAGCTAAGTATAGCATGGATGACAGTCAGAAAAGATAACACAAGAGCCCACCAAGATGCCTATCCAGGCCCTGGCTCATAGTAGGCACTCAGTAAACATTGTTGAATTCAGTAAGTGGACTTATTAGCAAGTTGAACCAGAAGACTTTTCAGGCCCCTTCCCACACTGCTAGTCTGTGATTCCTCAAAACAAGATGACAGAAAGCATGGAGAAGATCCTGGAGATGGGTGCTCAAAGCCATCAGAGGCACAAAAGGGAAGTTGGAAAAAACTTAATTCTTGCCAAGATGGATCCCAAAAGAGTAAGCAGGACTGTTCCAAACTGTCACACTCCAGGATGATCCTTGGTCCCATGTGATGCCCCCAAATTCCCACAGAGTCCAAAGGAACTAGAAAGCAGTTCTCTCAGGATTTCAGATGTAGACATCATCTGAAGTGAAATCCCAGGCCCTAACTTATTTAGTGAGCCTGAGAAATGACGTGTATGTTAGTGGGGGTAATAGTACTCTGTTTTGAGGTCCTAGATTTTATGATGCATTTTTCCCCCAATATCATAGAAACACAAAATTCAGGGCAAGAAATCTTAGAAATGATCTAATCCAGCCTCCAGCCCAATGGAGGAATTCTTCCTACAGTATCCCTAACAGAAGGTCACCCAGTCTCCAGCTGACAGAAAGCCCACCCACTTTCTCCAGGGGCAGCAGCATTACTGCTGGACAGCTCCCAGGTGGGCAGGTTCTTTCTTCACTTCTACCCATTGATGCAGCAGGGACCATGCCTGCTCCCTCCTCTTTGCGACAGCTCTCCTGACACCTGAAGTCAGGAATCACTGTTCTTCCATTTTCATTCCTGCCAGAAAACATCCTTCAATCCTTCAACTACAGAGACACCCAGTTTGTGGATTCTTCAATAC